AAAAAAAAAAAAAAAAAAAAAAAAGTCACTGTAAGAGTTAAGGGTAACTTTTTATAATTCAACACTCTTATTAAGAAAAAGGGGATCTAGATTTCATAATTTTCTCTATAGGTATATGAAATACAATTTTCAAAAATGCAATTTATTGCTTAAAATTTGTATCATATGTGTGCATATTCTTATATTATTTCTTTCCTTTTTGTTTTAGAGTGTAAAACTCCAGAGTTCCAAAACAGGTAAAATTTTTTCTTGTCTTTAGATGATACCTCGCATTGAGAATAGCTCATTAAGGCCAGGGATTTAGCTCAGTGGTGCTGTGCTTGCCTTGCCAGTCCTGAGTTTGATACCCTGTACCGGAAAAAGAAAAAAAAAAAAGAATAGCTCATTAAATTTAGAGCAATTGACCTAAAGAGGCCTCATGATTCTCAAAATAAGTATTTATTAATTTATTTCTGGCTTTACCAGATTAGGAATTTTGTTGTCTTATGAGCAAAGTGGAGATAGGATTTAAAAATTCAGCTTTCATATATACTTTTTAAAAATATTATTTCAGATAGGACCTTTTAAAATTGAATACCCAAAGCAATCTTGAGCAAAAAGAACAAAGTAAAAAGCAATACATTACCTGACTTGAAAATAATACTACAAAGCTGTATTAATCAAAACAGCATGGTATTGGAATAAAAACAGGCATATAGACTGAGGAACAGAATGGAGAGAAGTAAACCCATGCATTTACAGCCGACTGAATTTTTCTAAACAAAGGTTCTATGAATATACATTGGAAAAAGGATGATGTTTTCAACAAATGGTGCTGGGAAAATTTGGTACCTACATGCAGATGAATGACATTCGATCTCTATCTTTTATTACTTACAAAAATCAATTCAACATGAGTTAAAGACTTAAATGTAAGACCTGAGACTATGAATAGGCCAGGGATTTAGCTCAGTGGTTCTGCTGCCTGCCTCACAAGTGCAAGGTCCTGAGTTTGATACCTGGTACCAAAAATAAATAAATAAACAAAAAGACATGAAACTACTAGAAGAAAACAGGAGAAATGCTTTAGGACATTGGAATGGGCAGGGATATTTTTTAAAAAAACAAGACTCCAAAAGCATAGGAAACATAAAAGCCAAAGTAAATAAATGAGATTACTTCAAATTAAAGCCCCATGAGCAAATGAAACAGTCATCAGAGTGAAAAGACAACCTATGGAATGGAAGAAAATATTTGCAAACTACATATCTGACAAGATATACATATCTTACATATCCAGAATATGTGAGGAACTAACAAAAAAAAACTCAATAGCAAAAATAAATAAATAAATATTTGCATTAAAAATGGTCAATAGAGAAGAAGGCAAGGTAGGGCATGCCGATAATCCCGGCATTCTGGGAGGCTGAGGCAAAAGGATCACATGTTTGAGCCCAGCCCGGGCAACTTAGTGACTTAGTGAGACCCTGTCTTGAAATAAAAATTTTTAAAAGGGCTGGGGCTGTAGCTGTGCATGAAGTCCAAGGTTTGAATCCCCAGTACTGAAGGGAGGCTGACTGGGGAAGGTAATAGACTGGAATAGACATTTTTTAAAGAAGACACACCAATGGCCAACAGGTGTATGAAAAGATACTCAGCATCATTCATTAGGGAAATGCAAGTCAAAACCACACTGAGGGGTCAGGGATTTAGCTCAGTGGTTCCACTGCCTGCCTTACAAGCACAAGAATCCAAGTTCAAGAACCCCAGTACCAAAAAAAAAAAAAAAAAAAAAAAAACACAAATGGCCAACGTGTATGAAAAGATACTCAGCATCATTCATTAGGGAAATGCAAGTCAAAACCACACTGAGGGGTCAGGGATTTAGCTCAGTGGTTCCACTGCCTGCCTTACAAGCACAAGAATCCAAGTTCAAGAACCCCCCAGT